GACTTCATTCATTTTGCTACTCCTCAAACTCCTTGTTTTTGAAACAGTGGTTGCCCTATGGGCAAACCATCTCCTGGTTTCAATTCTGTCATCCTTGTTAGCTCTCACATAGCTATAGATATTGCTGACACTGAACTGTATTAAAATGTCAGAACTCTTGACTTTGGACCTCCATAGGTCTGGAAATGTGAAAGAAAACAAGTCAGCATCATATGACTGGCCAGAGCTCCATGGGCAAGAGTATTGCATGGAATATCTGGAGAACCTTCTGGACACATGTACTGAAATAATGGTATTTGGCATAGTACATGGTGACCATGCGAATGACCAATTTACACTGTGGCTAAGCATTTCCTTTTTAAATGCTGCTTTTCAGATTCTTTTAACTGTACCCAGTGTTGTTCTTTCTGGCTGAATTTTGTCCGAGTCTAAAACTGTACATGTTCCAAAGAAGTACAGACTTGTTCCCTAGCTTGGCTACTCACACCACAAACCATCAAATGAAAGATGAAATGGGGAGAGAGACTATTCATCTTTGCAGTACTAAAGGATTTGCACCTTGGCAGTGACACAAGAATTCTTTTTTCTCGCATTAATTTCCATGCAGATATTATAAATTACAGGCTTTCTTGCCCACCCCTCAGCTTCCATTTCTTCAGCTTTCTTACCCAAAAGAAAAGTGGAATCTAACTATTAAAAAAGTTATTGTTTGTGTTGGGGATGGTCGTGGTAAAAATTCTGTTCATGCAAGAATTGCAGGAAGGATCCATACAATATCTAAGAGGAAAGAAATGTGACAAAGTCACTCATAAACTGGAGGCTTTCCACATAGGGAAACTCTGTAGAAAGCTCTGATTGTTATATTCAGTATATGAACAACAGTTACCAAGATACTTAACAAAAGATTTATGCTTCAGTTCAGAATCAGCAGCCTTGATTATAATTCTTTTATTTTTATTTAGTATAAGACTTCCTCATATACATATACCTTTGTGGGCAGCTTTCATCAGTTGAACTAGGAAGATGGACCATTACTGTGCAATCTAAATAATACACTACATTTTTCGAGCAACTCTGTGAACTTTAGTACTCTCTTGAGAAATTAGTCATAGCTACTTTGTCTTCATTTGCTTTTAAATACAGTCTATTTTGATAGTTAAGCACTAGACAGATTACTTTATATTCACTGATACTGAAAAATACATGTACTTGAATGTAAAAATACAATTTAGAAAATGTCCTGTTGCCTGAAAGTGCGTACAGTTTTCTGTAGGTCAAAAGAGATGTAAGAGAGATCAGGCATGACAATGTGATTAGAGGTACAAGCTGGTACTTGGAGTACGTAGAGATACTTCTTGGCATTCCTTGCATTGATTTTTAACTCATATTTAGATCACCTTCTGTAGACATTGAATTTATTCATTGATAAGCAGAAACTTCACCAGAGTGTACACTTAATTGATATATCTAAAAGGTGCAGATGGCCCAGAAGATGGACTTGCCTCTCCACTGGCTGTACAGAGGGATTAGAACTTCTGCTGTGTGACTCGGTGTTTCCATATGGTGGGTTGAGTGGGAGCTTACTAGAGTTTATGTATATTGTGGTTTGGGGCTTTATTTTTCATACAGTGTTTGTAAAGGAGATGAACTAAGTTCATACAGCACAGTCTTTGAGGTCACCCAGGTCTTTTTCTGCTGTTGAGTTACCATCGTTAGTTACGCCCTTTTCCACAACTCAGGCTTGTCCTCCTTGGCAGAAGGCCTATCCATGTTGTGTAGTCTATTCAGGTACCCCTTAATTTCCTTATAGAGGTTCTTGGCTACAGTTTTATCTGCTCAGCTGATCAGAGCTCTCGCAGCAAGATCCAGAGTTTCTTACCAGAAGCTCCACCACAGC